ACAGTCATTCCTCTGTTCGGTTGCAATCCGATGTAAGTGGTGTTAACGGCACTCACTCTTGTTCCCTACATTCAATAGAGTGCACTTTCTACGGCAATATGGCAAATTCGTTAAAAAAATCCAAATCCGCTGGTGACGAAAGCCAGTCATGGGGTGTACTGGTGGTGGGAATTAAGGCCGCAGCAGACGCACGTGACCGGTTAATCACAATTGGGAAGCCCGATGGCGGTGAACAGACGGGGGAATCGATGGCAATCGCCCATAGAATTCAATATATGGCTGAATAGATATGAGACTATGACCCATACTTCCGTGTGCAGTCAGTGTAGCCCAACTGAACAAACGTATAGTTGCTCAAATCAGAGGACTTGTGAAATAAGTGATATTCTGTAGTTGTGGAGCGTATTGGCTGACACAGAGGTGTATTGTTCCAGTGTCTGTCGTCTGCTCCAAGGCGCTAACTAGACTGTCCTCCGCGTAAAGCGGAGATGGGTCCCATTCGAAAATCCTCAGTTGGTTGACATGTTTACACACGAGTTTCAGGCTTGCTGTGGACTCTGTAACAAGCCACAGATGTGAGTGCTTCTTATCTCTGCGGACAAGTGAAATGTAGTGGCTTTTCGGGGCATCATAACTGTTCCAACATGTTTGTCTGGGATATACACTGTAATGTCACCAGCCATGGTCAAGCTTTACCGCCCACTTTTTGTCCTGCTACGGTTGTAGTTATTTGGGCCAGTGAGGGTGTCACCCACATACTTGGCTGTTAAGCTCACTGGATCACGAGACTTGCCTTTTTTTATACTCACAAACCACGTCACATTAAGGTGACTTATCAAACGTCGATTATCTGTACCGTCTAGCGAGCGTAGCAACAACTCATGTGCTGATACACCTACACAGACGAAAACGGACCTACATATAGGGAAACCGAACACGGTCAGCACACGCACAGACTGGCGCTCGCGCAGGGAGCAGGAGGCCAACCACTCTCCACAGGTCCACAGACAACTATGGAACACGTGTAGCAGTCATACTGCGGAGAAAACACGTTTCCGCCCTCTGGACTTTCACCAAGGAACTCTCGCAGACGATAAGTTCCCCTTTTGACTTGCCCCCATTGTGCATTGTATTTATTTTCATACGTGTGGCATCTCACCATTGTCAACTATACTAAAAACTTTGATTAGTGCATATGCCTTCTGAATCTTATTATGGCCATCATTAACAGTGCACTAATAAGGGTATGGCGAACTTTTTTCGACATCGATAAGCAGTGCCGGACGATGGGTGAAAGTTGTCCACGCATTCTCTGGTTGTAGCGTTTGCATGATGTTCTGGTCGTTAGCCAGTAGCAGCACCTGGAGCGCTGAAAGATTTGTTTTGCTTATGAAGGTCTGGGCTGCCGCTCCTGTAGAAGAATTCACCAGCTACGTGGTCTCTACTACCACTTGGATTTTCAAAAGTGACCCCTTCCACCATGACTTTCTCGTTCGTCGGGATAATGCCGAGCTGAGATGGAGGACCTGAACCTTGATAGCGAATAGACTCCATCAAATGATTCAACGGAGGCATTACGTGGGTTAGGTCTAGCAATTTGCCACTGAAGGTGGACCTGCGGGATACTTCTTCGGAGAGTGAGGTAAATTTAGGGTCCCCAAATGAGCAGCCGATAAGAGTGACCTAGACTTGCTACTGTCAGGTGAACAGCTAAGGTAAGTTCGTCCTGGGCTGTGTCGCTGAGAGGGAGATGCACCATAGCAAAGGGACACGTGTCTTTATTAGTGGGGGGAAAAATTGCAGAAAACGGTGTCTGTAATCAGTAGGTTATGTGTTAGCGTGCTTCTGTGTTGGACAATGACCCCACCGACCATCGTTTGGCTCTTGCGTCTCACAGATGATTGTCCCGAGATTTGGACTTCGCTCTAGTACGTTGAAGCTTTGCCACGTCTCCGTGATCACAATGAGGTTCCATTTGGAACTGTGTTGATGATTCGCTTAACTGGGGAGACCTTGGGCTTTAGTGTTGCAGTAGGAAATGCAGTTGCAGCTTAAAGATCCCAGAGTGTTAGTAATATTTCAGGGATTCACATAATTGGTCAAACTTCGACCGATATGTAGGAATTTTCGAGTGTAAAGAGAACAGGTGAGTTTTTTGTTGGCAGAGTATTCTCAATGAGAGATGCTGCCTTGTGGCTGTAGATTGGGTTTACTATGACTCAGGCGCAGGGCCTCGGTTGTTGCAGCGAGGAGTTGCGCCACGGTACAAGTACCGTGAATATAGTTTCTAAGACACCGTGTTGGTGGATAGCTTGGTAGCCTTGAAGATGCGTGGACTAGTGCTCTTGTAATTTCTTGACGTACAGAGACGGGTAACTTCAGCGTTCATAAGGTTAGTGAGGTCCGGGAGCTCTTGGATGCACTTCCACTCTGTGAAGTTAGTTGATGTATGAAAACTCCCCTGGCACTCCTTTCGGTTCTAATTTGGAGATCTGCATCATGACGATTCATCCGCTCGCTCCAGGGGATGTTTGAGCATGTGCGCTGCGTGAATGTTTGACGCAAATTATGAATAACCAGCATCATAGCTCCCGCTTCTTTCATTGTAAGAAGACGGGGTCCATCGATTTGTAAGTCTAATCCAGTACCTTGGACTTCACTGGCCCTCTTGACGAAAAAACTGAACCCAACTTTTTTATCCTTCTCTGATTTTCGGACTGTCCAAGGTGACCTTGTGGTTTCTCGCATTTGGATGCAGATCACCGTTAAAAATCCGGGTGTTCTCTGTGCTGGCTTCCTGTGAAGCTGAAGTATGTGACGTTGGTAATAAACCGTGAGAACATTTGACCGCTTCCGCGCGTTTTATACAGCGGTATTTGAGCCAGCTGAATGGCCTGGAGACTGTGGCGGCGGTTTGGTTGGACCAGGAATGGTGAAGCGGTTAGATAGAAGAGTCAGACTGGTTTCGGTCCTGGGGCATTTACAGCACTTGTGAGGAGAATTGGATGACAGTTTGTTATCGGGTTTGGGTCAAAGGTGGACCTTCTTTCTTAGTTGCTGGCTCAGGTTGGTCAGTTTCTCTTCGTTCTTCAATCTCAGTGGGTAACAACAACAACTGAATCTTCGACAGCTCACGACCAGTTTCGCCATTCTTGGGGCTAATCAGGTAGGCGCAGTCCCCGAGTTTCCGTCAACCTTATGTTTTACTTGAAACCAAATTGCACGAAATTAGCGAATGCACACTCATTTTCATACTAATTTGGTTTTTCGAGATAATCACCTGGACCCCAAGATGGATCTCTCCTTTGTGATGTTTCCAGGCAACTGAATATACATGTATCGCGATATCTCGAATATCGTAGCGACTGAAACATGAGGCGACCTGGTACAACACATTCAGTTGCCTGGACACATCACAAACGAGAGATTCAGCTGGGTTCCAGGTGAGTTTCTTGCAAAACCGAAATTGTTTGCAAATGAGTGTGTTTCGCTAACCACCAAATCTTTCGACAGTGAGTTTTTTTTCAAAATGACTTTCAGAATCATCTTCAGTCAATTCCTTTAGTTGCTTCAATAAGTCGATAATGCTGAATTTGCACAGGTGGAATGGAAAAAACAACCGCATATGCCATACAGCTGGAGTGAATTTAAGCCTAAAACATAGAAAGGTGATACCAAAGAGGTTTCTTCAAATAGTCTATTAAACAAAAATTTGACGTTAACTAGATGAAGACTTTCCAAATAAGAACTTTTTAAAGAGGTGGGCTGATTTATCGTGACGCATTCAGCTCGCTGACTCATTCGGACATAGGTAGATACGTTTTGTGAAATCACGTTTAAGTGTTTCAGTCATCTTGATTATTTGGGCACAGGCCACATGTGAATCAATAAGTACATTTACAGTACTATCTTGCCTGCTCATACGCATGTTCTTGGAGTTGTGTAGTTGTATTATCCTTAGATGACTAACTTCCATCGCTTCGAGGATCAAAGCCATGTGCTAGCCCGTAAGATTTACTCCTTAATATCTACCATCTGTAGCTTGTCCCCTCATCCCGGCGCTTAAAGTTTCCCATGGAATCGACTTCTGAAAACCACGAATTTTCCTGTTTTGGGGCTTCAATCTGTTTGTGGGTCAGTATTTTAAACTTTGCAACCTGGTAGACTACTCCGTATCATCGCGAGATCCATATAACCTGCCCTACAGATAAACCGATTTAATAAGAACGATTGAGCCTGTTCGTGTGCCTTTTGTACTTGGTCACTGGCGCAGCCAATCAAAATTTAGAACCGAGAAGCCGCTGGTGTGAATTTTACCTCCGCTGATACGATGAGGTATACAGAATAACCAGGTATGACAAGCGTTAAGACTGAAAACGAAGGGAGGGTGCCGTATTATGGGCAAACATCGGTTGATCGGTGGCATACTGTTTCATGCAGGCCTCACCCAAATCATCACTTGTATTTCGTCTAACCAACCAAAAATGCCCATTTAGTTACGGCAGATGCAAGGGCTGACGAACTTATGGTTTCAATAGTTTCCCCTCAGGGCACACAATTGTGGAGGTTAAAACATTCGAACATGAGCAACTACCGGGCCACACCAAGAGCAGTGAAAAGATACTGTCAGGAAGGTCAGATTCATGAAAGCAACCACTGAATGTCTGAAAACCACTGAGACTCCTAGCTCTGCCAGATGTTGACCAGACACACAACGCCCCCTCAGTACGCAGCGCTTCACAGCCTTGTACCAAACCCGGACAGCGCGGGTCAGCGTTGATCAAGGCAGACAACGACCCCGCAATATGCTGCGCGTCGCAGCCTCGTACAGCCAGCCCCGTCGCAGCCAAACCGTGTGTCAGCATTGGACCAAGTTCAGACAGTGTTCCTCCAATAAATAGCTTAAGACCATTGTACTTTCGCACTCTCAGGCACTCGCGCTCTCGCACCCGCTTGTTCGGCATATGGATGTTGTGTTCCCTTCCGTGAGTCTTTTTCAGGCACTGGGCACTGGAGCGGGTCAGCAACAGATACTACAGGTTGGCGAATCAGCAGATGGAACAGATACTGACCAGCATGGGGCTCAACAACGGGTCCAAGGTCATAAACAAGACGATTTTGTGACGTGAATACGGTAGGAGGGATAGTGTATGCACACACGAACCTACGGATGGATTCCACGCGGGAGCCAAACTGTCTGGACAAATTTATTTTGATGGCAGAAGATAGGTCCACGAAGTTTGCAGCCTGCCACGTAAACGGCCACTAATCGATGTGACACTTCATCTATTTGGGTAGGTGTGATCTTGTCCTGTAAAGAATTCGTAAAGGTTCAGTGGGGTCTATGTTGTGATGCGCTAATCAAGCACCGATTGGAGATGTCCTGTTTTCGTTAAAAAAATTAGCCTGCATCCGTTCCTTTCTTGTTCAACTGAGTTGGTACCTCGTACATCCAAGGCATGAAAAGGAGCGTGGACTGGCAACCGTTGTGTTACTATGAGGCATAACAGTCATCACATAGTAAACCAAGTATAAAGCTCGGTGGCGCTTACAGTTCTACTTATGGTTTTCTAAAGTCCACAGTTGAGCCAGTCTGTTTTGAAACGTCCAGAAATGGAAGGTTAAGGTATACAGACTTCTCCCGTACTGTAGCAACCTGGAGATTTGAAGATAAAATAAACTGCCCAGGATAATCTTCTCTGGGAAGCTCTCTCCCCTCAGAATTGAAGGGTGAATGATGCTATATCCTGTCAAGGTGAGTTAATCACACCACTGGTCAGCTGCTGATGGTAGAAAAATGAGATTTTAGAACTACAAGCCAGGAGGCTGCGGGTTAGAAATTCCGTGCTGCTGATTCCAAACAAGGATGAAACAGCTGTACGGTGCTTTTCGGATTTTCAGCATAGGTAGGGGCACTTACGGGACTCAATTTCGATTGAAAAAAACAACCAACACCCTCCCCTAACATCTTGAGCTCACATGGTTGCAAGTTCACGAACATGTGCTTCCTTGAATGCACAGACCCCCATAAGTCCCACCCTGCCTTCATCTCAACAATATCTATAGGTTATTTTGGCTGCTTAATCCACTGCATTCTAAAAGCGTTTTTCTATTTCTTTTGGCTTTATTAATAATGGTATCTGTTTGGCGAAATACACTCAGTTGTAAACTAATTTGGCTTTGCAGGAGACTCATCTGGAATCTTGCTGAATGTCTCGTTTATGATGTTTCTAAACCATTCGGGTTCAACTAGAACATAAGGCTGGCGGAAACTCGGGGACTGACCCTATCTGATGAGTCTCACGAAGGGCTATGGGGTATTGTATTACGTCTATACAGGTACCTGTTTGCACTCTTGTCCGTCTTGACCTCTTCAATTATATGACCTTAGGAGGAATTATCCTACATGCTTCGTTAACTAAAAAATAACCACCGGGACCAGATATGTGCACGCCTCTTACCCAGTGTATATTTTGGGTTCAATATTTAAGGTTAATCATTAAAAGTCATAAGTAATGTTACTGGAACCTCGTTATTCAGGTAGATTTACAAGCTGTTGATCAGGTGGTCAACTGTTAGTGACCTCAAGGCTGCTCCATATAAGGGATAGCTTTAAGTGTTCAGAGATATCCGAAGAACTCGTTCAGGTTTACTTTTACCTGTCCTTTGTTGCTGTTCCGAGTTGCAGAGTGAAAAGAACTGAGTACTGATTGCTACTTCTAATTTGTTAGGTCTCACTTTGTATGGTTTTCCATACCCCAAACCCAGTAACTGTCTTGGCTATGCCGACAAAATGACCCACCAAGACTTTCCAATCAGGCCGCACCATCAACGTCTTCTGTATAAAGTTTTTGACTACTTATGAGTAGCTAAGAGTCAACCGCACACGCCACTCGAGTGCGGCAAGCTCAGTCGTTCTGCCGTGACACTTCAAGCGCATTCGCTGTGTGCTGGTGTACTAATGACACGGTCGCCCCAGTGTATGAGACGCTAGAAGTTCAAACATTTATTGACACCGGTAACAACGAAACTCGAGTCGAACGCTTGTTCACCATACCGAGAGTAACCGAATTAGCTGTGGTATCCAGTCACAGTCAGCCCCAGATCAGAACCAGCGATTCACCAATATGAACGGCGCCCCGTCTCTATTTCAATGGACCGCGTAGGGAACTGTGCTCTAAAATATGCATAGTTGCATGGTAGATTGCTAAATTGTACATTTCGTCGGTCTGCTGGCTACATATCATGGAGAACAAAGCTTAGTAAAGATCCAGTTTGAAACCATGCTACCCAAGCAATCATTTACACAGGCCACATGACAGATGCCTATCCTATTACTTATGCTTGTCACTTTGCCAGAAACTGTAGGTAGCAGATATTTATACCTGAACAGATATTTTGCAGACCACGGAAACTCAAAAAGTAGTTCTTCAAAATGACTATGGGGGCGCGACAGAATATTTAGGCACGAGTTTGATCCGATTAATGACGCTTCATCACCGGCCATCTGTAGCCCAGTTTACGCTGTTTGTACAGGGCGTACCAGGCGATCTGAGTAACCTTTGATGAATTTTCGCTGCTGATAAACAGCCTCGGAAACAAACTCAGCTTTGTTCCCTTGCAAATCACGCATAGGATGTAGGGTCGAAACGAATATAGACGCCCCAATCTTTAAGGAAAAGCCATACATAAGCTTGAAAGAATCGTATAGAGTACAAGTTGGCGCTGGAGAGTTTGATAAAACAGTGGTTCGTTACTGCTAACTTTCGGGAAAGATTCAAAAAAATATGTGTAGTTTTCACTGACAGAAACCGCACTAGTGATGCGATTGAACTCGACTGAATTCTCAATAAACTCAACCGATGGGTCATTGATAATCCGATGATGCTGTAAAGAGGCGGAAAGGCGAATTCATTGAGCTGGTGATTGGTTTGTGGTTGAGGGATAATGAACTCGCGGTCGTCGCGGGTACGGCACCAATCCGGTTCAGATGACAATTAAGACAAAGCAAACGATGGATCATCCTTTCCGGGACATTCGGGTCTGGTTCGATCATTGGATAGCACCGCTTCTCGATTTCATCCCCGAGAAGCTTTTTACAGTCCTGGAATATGAACGAATGAATCCGTAAGATCAGCTCGGCAAAATTTTTGATATCCGTTGAAACCAGCATCTACCTTGCATTGAGTTAAAATTATACGCAATGTGGGTGGTGGATGTCTATCTTGAATCATGACTGAAAAATCTGGTTTTGCTCAAGTGGACAAACCGTCGTATCACTTAAGTGGAATCTGTTCAGCATTAATTCGGGCGTCACACACAGTTGTATCGTGGGTGGCCGTCTATTAGTTACGCCTGCACTGAAGCTGCTAGACTATGCAACAAGGAGAAGACAGAGAACTCGGGACATGGCCGTATTGTCAGGGAATAAACACAGAGCTTCTGCGTAAATATGTAGGATGACTAAATGGTCAAGTATGGTCGTTCACCTGTTCGTTCTGTACGGCCAATGGCGGTGTTCCGATCGTGAACACCTTCAGCTCCACTCCGCTGTTCGTATGTTGGTAAGCTGTGTTTGGTGAGCCCCGCCAACGCACCTGAGTGAACACCCTCAGCTCCACTCCGCTGTTTGTGTGTTGGTAAGCCGTGTTTGGTGAGACCCGCCAACGCACCTGCTATCCGGAACGTTATATCCGGAAGGTGTGCTACCGATGATGACCTTGGGAATGCGTCATTCTCTGCACTGTGCTTTTTTCATGCCTGGGCGCATCCTGACATCAGTGTATTCCATTCCCAGAGCAGATCACTGCGAATGTCACGGATGCTCAAGTCTTCACAAGTAAACAGCATACCGGACACGTTTTAAGCTTTCATTTCCCGTATTTAGATTGACCGATAGGATTAGGTCGCATGATGATCACAGTAAGTTAACCAGTTTAGAGCTTTGTTCGAGAAGGGCTTGGTAAACAGTCGCTAACCTTTAACTGGGCAACGTTTCACTTTTGACACAAAAGCTTCATCAGGTCACCAAGTTGGTCAGGTGTGAGGCAGAAGGAGAACCTATCAGCAAGACCTCTTCAGGTTAGCACATTAGGTCAGCGTTGAGCATCAGTTAAAGGGTCTTGTCAGCTAGTGTGGTTGCTCAAATCTTACGACTGATGGGTTGAAGGAATTTTTCAAATTATTTCTGATCGAATTCGGTTCCTTAATCTTCCAGTTAAAGGTACTTCAACTGATGATTCACTTTGGGTGCCACTCATGGATTTGGTCAGTATGTGTGGGTTTGTAAGTGCTACGACAATTTATTTTGTGGGGAAGGATGGGGTTTTGATGACTCCTCTTTCTGACAAATGTACATTAACACTTGTTAGCTCGACTGATCTAAAACCGTTCTCCACACGCTTGGTTGGCGACTTCCACCGCCTTAGCCATCAGTCTCTGTGACACGGACCGTAATCCTTGCCTCAACATTCTCTGAATCTGTTTTGTGTTCCGTGTCCAGTGCATGTTCCGCCATCGCTCAGTCTTTCAGTAACTCTGGATTTTCATCTACGTTTCCCTACCGTCTGTTTATTTTTCTCCTGTACTGTCTGACTCTGATGTGGAGTTCCCTGGCTGTCTGTCCTATAGAGACCTTAGTGCCTTTAAACCTTTAAACCAACGTTCAACACCGATCTAGTGTGCCAATCCGAGGAGGTTTTGCTGATTGCTTCTCCGTCTGCCTCAAAACCTGGACAAGTTGGTGACCTGTTCATTTGGCCTGACGGAATTTTGTGTCAAAAGTGAAACGATGCTTAGTTGGAGACTACCGATTGTTTACCAATCCCGTCTGAAATGAAAACCTCTCAGTCGGTTCCAAACTTTGCATTTTAGAACTTGTTGTTGATTACATCGAAAAAAAGTGTTGCATGCGATCTGGACCAATCTCGGTTCGGAGATCAAAATTTGAAGTCAATAGTTTAGACCTCTTGACCGCAGGAGCAACAGCAATAATTAACTGATAGTAAAGAGTAACAGGTATGACCACAAAACTCTGGCCATTAAACGAACGTTGCTCTCTTGTCCTATGAGAATAAGCGAATGATTGTCAGGCTAGGACTGCGGATACCACACGATTGGACTTAGATAATTAGACGAAAAGAAGATATAATGGGCCAGGAAGTACCAGACAGGGACTTTGTAAATTTTGGGACAAATAATTGTAGCATTTAAACTCACACAACAGCGATAACAATCCAAGTGGAATTCCTTGTCCAAAGCCGCAACACGTAAAACTTCGTTTGAGGCCTGTGTGGATTTAAATTGGGGGACGGATATGCATGTCAGTAACAAATGCGTAATGTGTGAAACCTGTACTATTTTGAAGTCATACTTGACACGCCTCAGCTGACTAGTCTGTTAGTGCTGAGTAAGCCCATGATCATCGAAAAAACTTGCAGTTCTGAGCATCCATTCCAAACAGGATCTTTTAATAGACATTTCGCCCCGTAAGTGAATCCTGCCCACTCTGCAAAACATGGAAGCACTATACAGCTGTTTCATCCTTAGTCGGAATCATCAGCACTAGACATCCTACGAAACTCGAAGAGTTGATCATACTACTGATCTGCAGTTGGGCGTCCAAATCATCAGCCGGGATGTCGAGGGTTTGAAACTCCCTTGACTTCCTTAAATTCACACTGATGAGGATTTCAAGTAAGGATGGAACAGCTGTAAGGTGTTTCTTGGTTTTTCACCAAAGACTGGTAATTCACCCTAGCCTGGAATCAAAAGAACGCCAGTTCGCTGTATTTCGGTATTCGATAGATTACCAGAAGCCTAACATGCAAGTCGGGAGCAGATTCCAATCATCTAAACACAAAGCCTAATGAAAATACTAAGCGGTTCCAGGCATTTCAGTGGGACCAAAATCATGATTTAATCAATACTTCTGTACGCTGAAAGACGTGGCGAAATCATGCAACTTTTGCATGCTGCACATGATACGGCTTGTTTATAAATAAGATACAATTCAGGATGAAGGCGTGAATAAGAGACCACTAAAATATCTCCAATTATAATTCTATCGACGCAATACCGTGCCTCATTTAAGCACCGACTCGTAGTTATACGCGACATTCAGCCTCACGTGAAAGTTTTTAGCGGAGAAGTACCGCTGTAGAAGCGTATACTACTGATGAAGCATGCAAATAGTGTCTGATTAGGTGTTCAACCTCCGCTCACGCATCCAACGGGAGGTGATTACTACAGAAAGTATGAAGTGACCGTACAGTGTGCATTCGTTATTTCTTATTCTAAATGATGTCCAGGAAAGTAAAAGTCTGAGAATGTTTACTTTGCAGAAAGTCTGTGCAGATAAGGTTTCGTGTCTAATTGCTTGTAACCGCTTAGTTCGTGTTTTCCGATGAACCACGCAGTCAAGGGTGATTGCGGCTAAGTCGGGACAGTGTGCTTGATTAGCAAAAAGCGTATGAAGTTTTCGAGGCTGAATATTTTGGCCGTGGGATGCCATTCTGTAGCTATAAGACATTTGAAGCCAACCGGAAATCGTTTTCATTTGAACTGAGTCACAGATCACTCAGGTATGGCTAAATTATGGACGGACCAGTCCATTCATGAAAGAGTTCAGAGTGATACAGCTGTTGATGGTCATATTATTCCGGTAAAATACCTAAGGACAGTCAAACTCAGTGCGTCAGCTGCAAGTTTACGTACCTGCGGTTGATCCTAAACGAAATCAATTAGCGATCTATCACACGGACCAAGATGTACAAGTTCTGTTAGGCCGTAGTTCAGACAGATAAGAATACAGTTCACTGGCCTTCAGATGTAGTAACTTTGAAAATGTCGGGGTTGATCTGTTTGGGAGCCTTAGCCGTCAGATGCTTCCTCAAAACAAGTCTCAACAAATCTTTATGTTAGATGAATTTACTGGAAACAAAAGTAATGAATTTTTTTCAAGAGAATTTGTTTCATTGGTAACTGAAGAGAGAGGTAAAGATCCAGCTACGTGCCAACCATCGGTACATCATTTTGGTGATTTCAATGATCGTGCTTGTTGTTTGGACTCAAGATTTCCAGTGAGTCCGTCATAGCAGAAGACCCTGTTACCTGTTACCTGTGTCGCGTCACTTGTGTGGAAGCGGACGTCTCCGACCGATGAGTTTTCGTTTTGCATCGGGGTCGTTGCAGTCAGCGGTCATGACAAAAAGCCAACAGATTTCGAAGTTTTTCCCAAGCGGAACAGAGTAACGCACCAATCGAAACGGAGCTTTTGGACATAGTCTTCTCTCGGGAAGGATTGCTTGCACGTGCACTCAGCACAAAATTTATCGTACCTGCCGGTCATTGTACCCACTAGTCAATACAGTAGCACACAGATTACCTGCCGATCGTAATCAGAAGTTATCACACCAAACTGGAGTGTTGTTCATTTTTGACACGCTGTCCAGAGCTTACATTCCGCGTGAAAACAATGTGATTCCCGAATTTGACCTCTGCCGTGAATGACTGGCACAAATAACCGAAGTTACCTTATCGAAGATCAGATCATATTATTACCAAAAAACTGACCTCATTTCTTGCGAAGCAAGGTGTAAATCCTAAAACACCTTAAAGGTTCTCATAGCAACAACTGCCACTGAAAATGGAGTGGGTTCTGCTGCTTAGAAGTGTTTCTATGGCGTAAGAAATGTGTTTTAAAGATTCGATGGAAAGAATACTTCGACTTGGTCTTGTGTTGAATGCGGCCTCCACATGATCCGAAAATATTTGTATGAGGTGGTCATGACAGGGCCACTGGGATCCTAGACCATTCCTGGCTGAGGCCCATGTGATCCTGTTCGTAGATAGTCGGAAAGTCTTCAGGGCATAGCACGTAATCGATTCCAGTGGTACGCACGCTGTCATCCTCTGATCGGGCTGCCTAACTACAGCTCGCCCGTCGTTGTGAGCTGGGCTTGTGTGAAGTGAGGTTTGCAAGGGACAATAAAGTGGTCCTCTTAGCGGTGCCACACTCCAACAGAGTAAGTGGTTGTTCATTCTAATCCTGTCTGAAGATGTAGCCACCTGATCCTTGGCCATTTTCCTGAAGGACATGGGGACTATTCGCACTAAGCCCCTACCCTTCCCTTTCCTTTTCTTTGAATTTTTTACTAAAGCTTTCTTCTCTCACTGTGGTGTGGCATTTAAGCTGCAGTATATATCACTGGTGTACAACTATCAATGATGATGACGTAAATCTAATTACATACGGGTACTTCATGCTGTATGAATACTATTGATGACATAGTGGTTAACAGTATAAATAGTCGTTGTTTATGCGTCATATGTCACAGAACCTTTAACATTGGTGCAGTAGTGCAGTTCATAAACACTATCTCTTTAAATCAACCTATTATAGTGATCACTCTGAGGACGGAGCGCTGGTTATCACCATTACAACCGTGGACAGTCTTCACAAAATGCTAAACACAGTCCCACCGAACTACTGTTCCCAGAAGACGGACAGCAGTTTATGCATGAGGAGTCTCAACAATTCAAGAGGTGGTGGGGATTTCAACGTTGCATTTACAATCCGTACCACTAGAATGACTTTTTGCCAAAAAATTGGACATTAGCCAATTCCTTTGCTCTGAGATGCAATTCGTTCTTGGAAGACTCCCTCCTAGGAGACAGGCTACAGCCTGGGTTTACGTATAAGATCACTTTTTGAAGTTATTCCGAAGTCCAGCACACACATGAACTAAGGACGAGAATTATAAGCTCTGTTATCTTTAATTTTTGCCTGTAAAACGTTATATCGCGTCAGAATTTCAAAGTTGCGTTATACTCGGGTTAATATCATCCTTCTCATTTGGACTAAGGGTATAATTGATTATGCTACTGGATGACAGGGGTGTCCAATATGCGGGTCTCCTGGATGCGGGTGTTCTTTTTAGCATCCAGTCATAGCGACCTGAGGATCACATACAATACAACTGATTCTGTTCAACAGGGGGGCGGCTTCACGGCACAAAAGCAGAAATGCAAGTTAAGGATACCCCAGACTAGTTAGCTTGGATAGAAATTGTTGTGCATCAGACCTATTTATGGTTGTGGAACCAAAGTGGTATCAGATCCGTTGGTATTATTCATGAGTTCTTGTTCGCAATCTATCCACTCCAATAAATCAGACAGAGGGCTTAGCGGAATTTGTAAAGCGGCATTCGTACGATTGCCCTGAATGAACGTAGAAGAACTTACACCATCAGGCACAATCATGTATCCACAAGCACCACACTGAGGGGCGTGTACGAGATGGTAATCCGGAAGGCAGTAAAGAAGATTGTTCGAATCCACAGTAAAAGGAACGCCGTCCAGGCATTTGGTGCACACGGAGCAGTTGAAACATCCAGGATGATACGAGTTGCCCATGGCTTGCAAGATCTGCCAGACGCAAACAAGAAAGACACGAATTTCACGAGTGCTCGAATTTGACAGAACAAGGGTAGAAAAATCCAAAAGGCCTACAAACTTCTGGCCTCATGGTATGGTAAGGTGAGACTCAATGGGGCCTAACTCAAAATAACATGGTATCAAGTACAGAAGACGATTACAGAAGTTGACTAGTGATGATGCTTAATATCACAGATTCAAATTCTTTAGTGCTAGTTGGGTTAGTTAATGTAAGTTGCAGGTCAATAGATGAAGGGCTAGGGAATATGATCATGAATTAAAGGTGGTAAGACTACCGTATGCAGCCACTTCAGCTCAATTCATGCAGACGGTTACTTGCCGTTAGCCCTAGTCAGCCGTAGAGAGTTCGGTCCTGCTTCACATTTTCTTGTTTGAATTGTTTCGTATACACGACCAATACAATTTGACAAATTGTTCGATTTCAAAGCAAGTAGCATTCCGCTCATGGGTGACTGGGTTCAGGTCTAACCCGATCAATGTGCCCGTCCTGAAACAGACTGTATCTTCCCATAAACTGGTCTGAGGTCCTCTTTACAATTCATTTTACTCACTACTGATAGTCACTATCTGTTTGTTCCTGTTTATACGCAGTTTTAGAACCGTTACATGCAATGTGCGTTCGTGTTGATGCTAACACGAGGGCGTGAGATTTCCAGGAAAGCAGGGAGGACTTGTGAAATCATTCAATCACCACAACAAAAGTGCACAGTGTGCACTTTTTATCGGCTGTGCCATTGCACACATCAAGGCAGTGCAATATACCTGACGATTAGACCTGATTTTGAATGTAACATTTAAATGTGCGGTTAACGCTATCATGCACGCAAGAGCTGGGTTGGCGATAGTGAAACCATCTGAAGGACAATCTACTTATTGCTTTACAAGTAGCTCGAAATAACGAAGTCATTGAACGGCATGGGCCTTCTGAAACACTACGGCGAGAGTTTCTGAGAAACTTTGTGAGTGCGTTTTCAAGGCTAAAATATAGGTTTTTCACTCAGAGTCAAGCCAAATCAATGATTAATCATCAATGTAGAGGGTTCATCAGGTAGCCTCAGGCTCCGGGTTTCCATAAACGAGGGATCCGGTTAAGTCCACCGTAAAAGCCTAATTGATTTGAAGACGAGCGTAGTTGTCGAAATATAGAGGGTTAGTGTAGCAGCTCTGCTTATGATGATATCGGTTGTTTGAAGTAATAGCTCACCCAAATTTATCGGTCAAAAGAATAGGAAGCTTATATAACGGCTTTTCCGTTTGAAGAGCAAAACACATCTTTCGAGATTCAAGGTGTAAACTCATTTATTCTAGATGGTTTGTGTCCTTCTAGGGTGACTTCAATTGATTGTCTCTTTTAGTTGATGGCTTTCTGTGAGGATTCCCATTAGAAATGGAACAATGTACTTTTCTTATATATTAATGATATTAGACGTTTGTCCGAACATTTCCACACTGTTTCGTGAGTTGTTGCATCCGTTGCAGCGTTGCGTTCCTTACCGAGATCGATCCTGGTGAACAGAATGACTTCTCACATTTCTGTAGAAACCATATTCAATAGTTAGTACAATCAATTGCTTGGGTGGGTTAAAACTGGACGGAATACACTTGGTTACATTATACCTTCATAAGGCAAGCAGCTTCTGTCTCTCTGGAACAAAGTAAAAGGTAATGAGTTACGTGATATATACAGAAGAGACGGTCTTTCGAGTTGCCCGGCGCCTTGAGCGTCATATCAGTCCTGGCGCTCATTCCAGCCAGCTTATGTCGGAAGTCTTATTCCGATCCTGCGGCGCAGTGTCTGGTGAATGATCTATTTATGGGCAAACCTTCTTCTCTGACGAACTTTTGAATTCGTGTCCTCAAAGGTAACAGCACTTGCCCTTCAATTAGTTCGATCACGGTAACAAGGTTGGATGCAGTAAGTCGGAACTACATAAAAACGTACGTTTTGGAATAGTTCACGAAATGGATGAAGCAGGAACGACTGAGTAAACCTTAATTGGTAAAACAAGAATCGGAAGCAATCATCCATGGGTGAGGTGCCATTGTGGACTGAAAGTGCTGTTATATTCTCCCAGTGCACATCAAAATTTGGAAACTTTAATGTGTACTACTTAACAATGGTACTCAGCCAAACGTTAGCACAAAAACCAGTGAATAATACCAGCAATTGATTCGTTTCAGCTGGGCGCAAACTGGATGAATGAATGAGCGAATGAATGAATGAATGAATGAATGAATGAATGAATGAATGAATGAATGAATGAATGAATGAATGAATGAATGAATGAATGAATGAATGAATGAATGAATGAATGAATGAATGAATGAATGGGCGGGTGGATGGATGGATGAAGGATGAATGGATAGATAGATAGATAGATAGCTAGATAGATAGATAGCTAGATAGATAGATAGCTAGATAGATAGATAGCTAGATAGATAGATAGCTAGATAGATAGATAGCTAGATAGATAGATAGCTAGATAGATAGATAGCTAGATAGATAGATAGCTAGATAGATAGATAGCTAGATAGATAGATAGCTAGATAGATAGATAGCTAGATAGATAGATAGCTAGATAGATAGATAGCTAGATAGATAGATAGCTAGATAGATAGATAGCTAGATAGATAGATAGCTAGATAGATAGATAGCTAGATAGATAGATAGCTAGATAGATAGATAGCTAGATAGATAGATAGCTAGATAGATAGATAGCTAGATAGATAGATAGCTAGATAGATAGATAGCTAGATAGATAGATAGCTAGATAGATAGATAGCTAGATAGATAGATAGCTAGATAGATAGATAGCTAGATAGATAGATAGCTAGATAGATAGATAGCTAGATAGATAGATAGCTAGATAGATAGATAGCTAGATAGATAGATAGCTAGATAGATAGATAGCTAGATAGATAGATAGCTAGATAGATAGATAGCTAGATAGATAGATAGCTAGATAGATAGATAGCTAGATAGATAGATAGCTAGATAGATAGATAGCTAGATAGATAGATAGCTAGATAGATAGATAGCTAGATAGATAGATAGCTAGATAGATAGATAGCTAGATAGATAGATAGCTAGATAGATAGATAGCTAGATAGATAGATAGCTAGATAGATAGATAGCTAGATAGATAGATAGCTAGATAGATAGATAGCTAGATAGATAGATAGCTAGATAGATAGATAGCTAGATAGATAGATAGCTAGATAGATAGATAGCTAGATAGATAGATAGCTAGATAGATAGATAGCTAGATAGATAGATAGCTAGATAGATAGATAGCTAGATAGATAGATAGCTAGATAGATAGATAGCTAGATAGATAGATAGCTAGATAGATAGATAGCTAGATAGATAGATAGCTAGATAGATAGATAGCTAGATAGATAGATAGCTAGATAGATAGATAGCTAGATAGATAGATAGCTAGATAGATAGATAGCTAGATAGATAGATAGCTAGATAGATAGATAGCTAGATAGATAGATAGCTAGATAGATAGATAGCTAGATAGATAGATAGCTAGATAGATAGATAGCTAGATAGATAGATAGCTAGATAGATAGATAGCTAGATAGATAGATAGCTAGATAGATAGATAGCTAGATAGATAGATAGCTAGATAGATAGATAGCTAGATAGATAGATAGCTAGATAGATAGATAGCTAGATAGATAGATAGCTAGATAGATAGATAGCTAGATAGATAGATAGCTAGATAGATAGATAGCTAGATAGATAGATAGCTAGATAGATAGATAGCTAGATAGATAGATAGCTAGATAGATAGATAGCTAGATAGATAGATAGCTAGATAGATAGATAGCTAGATAGATAGATAGCTAGATAGATAGATAGATGAACATAATAGAATGGACGAATGAGTGAATGTATATACATGAATGAGAAAACATCACCTCAGTAACACAGCGCAACCGCACCACTCGTTGAACGGAACCTTGTTTGGCCTAATAAACCTTCTAATGCACTAGAATTACCATCATCATCCTTGGCGACGAAACTACTCTGGGAGAGCTCCCGCACATCCATCTCAAGCTAGTTAAATAAAACCCTATGGTAAAGAAAAGTATATATTTCGAAAGATAATGGGCCACCATACAACCTTATGGCGGACATAACTAACGAGTAAATTATTGTCCTGTGATACTAATCAGGATAAGGTCTTCACTAAGGTGCAACCTACGCTGGTGGAACAAGTAACATTATCCGACGTTCTGTGAACGTAGTCAACCTGGCTCCACCGATTGAGAGCTGCGGGACAATACATCATTCTCTTCTTCCACGCTGACCGAGGTGGTAAAGTCTGGTTAAATTCTTGTATGTCTGCTCGGTAGATACATAACTTGTGAAATTCTCCCAATTGACACACAATACAAAAGTGAGAAATGCATTCACTTAACTTTTCTGATCAAAGAACATGGTAAACTTATGCTCTGTGTAACGATTTATCGTTTGTCACTCGAAGGTGCAAGCGACTCAGTTTTCTATGGATTAGGTCACCGTATAAGAATCTACGTGTTCCTGTGCTATGTACCTGGGATCATTCTCAGATAAAGTGACCATCAACTTCCGCCCAGGTCTGACCGAATTCACCAAATGACCGGTTAACGCTCAGTTGATATTCTAAATTCCCCAGCTCAGATTGTACAAAAATAGACAAAATTTACAAAACACCAAACGAACACTGATCGCATTCCGGCCCTCGTAAATTCGGTGTAATATTAGGACATCATGCAGCTGTATGACTTTTAGTTTATGTCGGGAGTTTTAAGGCAGCATAGTAGATGACACGTTACTGCCGTTTTATAAATTTAAACTCTATGACTCAATGATGTGAGGGCAAATGTCAGGCAGAAGACGAACGAGAAAGTTGTCTTTTTGGGTACCTAAAAAGAATATTCAGGCCCAAAATGAATCACTTAGAAGTCTAGTCGTGACTAAAACAGATAGCTCTGAGCTTTCCGAATGCAATTTAAACTCGGGTGATGCTGGTTCTATCGTCAACCAATCGGATTGCTTGCCAGCACTGCTGCCATCCGCCCGTCAAATTATCTGCCTTGTAAAGACTGGACACTGAATGGAAGCTAGTTGTGGAAATGCGCGTCGGCATTAACCTCAGTATTGACGAAACTTTTGGAAGCCGGTACGAAATCCTCCTAGAATGAGTAATACCATGTCCCACTGTCGATGTTATTCCTTTCAGTCAAGTAAAAACCAACAATCTGTGTAGAGGATTCGCCTGTCACAATGAATTACGGTGTGAAGAACTTTACCGATCACCTATTCAGTTCAGCTTGATAAGTAATACTCCAATAATGTCAAGCGCCATCAATTTGAAGTTCCGAGAATAAACTTCTTGCGTTCTGCTGTTCAGCAGTCTTGATGACGTACTTTGAAAGTGCAACCTTCGGCCGAAAACTGGCTGCGCACGAGAAGCTTTTGGATCTTTTCGGTGTCAGTAATTTGATAATCTATTGGAAAGCCAATGTGAATTTCATCTTAGGACAGAAGTACCTTAGGGGAGACTGATTGTAAAAAAGAACAACGGTAAGGATACGCTTACCCTTTCAGAAATAAGGTGTCCACATGCACAGCATTTCTCAGCCACTTGCTGAAATCCGCAGTACTGGAATTGGAGTGAAAGTAGATAGACGATTTCGAACATTTGCTGTGTAATACAAGTGCTTGACGCGTAAGTTTCAAAAACTAGCGAAACGTTGCAATTCATCCAGTCACGAAATCGCCATAGAAAGAACAGGTCTCGGTTGTCATTGATATTCAATCTGCTGGTTCAAGATGAAGTTCCAGCTTATGACGTGAAAGAAAGCAAATGTAAACATCGACTTATTTTGCAGTGACCACCCAAAGCAAATGTATGTGATGTTCTGGAAAAAGATGTGTTATATGGACGAGTTTTCGTGGGAACAACCCCCTGTGCCAGGACCTTTGACTGCAAGTACATCACAACGGTGCGCCAATTGGAGGGCAACACAAATACTTGAAAACAGATCCCACCTTGGTTACTGTAACACAAGTTTAATCTCGTTCATCAGTTCCGCCAAACTGGTCCCCTTTTTGTCTTTTTGAACACTTTAAGTGTTCACTTTTTACAACTGCCCTCATTTAGTTAATCCGGTAGTGCGTCAGGTTTGTATCACAGTTGAGTTGCT